TATTACATGGAAAATCCAACAAGTAAATGTGACATTGATAACATGGCATGCACAACATGAAGAGAAAATACCCATTGGTAGAACTCAAATTAAAGTTCTATATTAGAAGGTCCCGAGGCCATCTTCTTTTCAGACGCCTCGGAGGGTTATCAGGGATCGAGGAGGAAGCAAGGTTTGAAACGAGAGGATTCGGATGGTTCTGCAGTTTGTTATGGAAGAATAGGTATCTGGATTGGGCCAAATCGGAAACATATGGAACATTAAGGTCTTTATGGATAATTTTATTTGTGACAAAGAAGGAGCGTTGAGGATTTTGGATTGTAAAGATTCGATGGTTTAGTGGAGGCCCAAATCTCAATTCCATAAGTCCAAATAGGTCTTATTATTGTCATATATATGAGTCTTTTGTAATTGATTGAAAGCGTTTGTCTAGTAAGTGTGGAAGTAGTCGGAAACGTCGGTTTCTAGTCGTTTCAGTCTGGTATGGAGGTTCCAAGTGAGTCGTTTATCAAGGTGGAGTCCTAAGTATCGGATTTGTTCGACAGGGATAACAGGGCTATTGTTGAAGGATACTGTAGGACAGGAAGTCATAGGTTTACGACGAAGAGTAAAGATGATTTGATGGGATTTGTTGGAGTTTATTTTAATCCTCCAGTTTTGACACAATTTTTTCAAGACTTGTGATGTGTGATTGAAGAGGTTGGGATGCAATAGATGGGTCGTTATTAACTAATAGGATACACAGTGCTGGTAGTAAATTTAATAACTGTTTTCTAAAAATAAAGAAAAAAATGTATCTACTGTATGAAGGTTATTTAGAATTGTATCATCTAGAACGGTTTTTGAGCTAAGACTGCTCTCACTTCTCATTACGCTTATCACTGTTTTTTCGTATTTCTGCTAGTTCAGACCAAATCATATTTTATTTTTTAATATGGAAGAGTAAATTTTTATATATTTGTGCATCTTATCCATCCTATCGCCGTCAGTACTTCCTAGCCATCTTTCTGTACCAAATCATTAGAACCCATCGAACCTCCTATATTTTTCACAGCTTACAATTCAAATATTCCATCCAATCCCGTCCCACCAGATCTCGTACTTCCGACCTCTATCCTCCTCCTCACCGAACTGCTGCGTTTGACAAATCCTTTGTAATACAAGCCGCCTCCTTCTGGAATTCCATCCCAGCTGATATTCGACACGCTCAATCAGTTTCCTCGTTTAAACCTCTCCTCTTTAAGCACCTACTCCTTTCTCAATCCGAATGATTGTGAAATATATCTAAGAGAAATATCTGAGCGCCACCAGAGACTACCTCAATTTATTAAGGTTATTTTAGTTTCTCATATATATGTACAATTTACTTGTTCTTTTCTTTCTCTTTTCTGTATTTTTATCGTAAGTCAACTTTCATTGTAAATATACAATTTAATTGTAACCACACAGACATATAATCTGTATTCATATTTTGTTCTTAAGGGACAACAGTCCCAGAATAATAAAACATTTTTTCATTCATTCATTCATTCATTCATCTTCAATTTTTTTTTTTGTCTTAATTTTTAATTTTTAAATGAGTTCCGAATATTTACAAGTTATCGGTTTCATATTTTTGTACGATCAATATTGAGCTGTATTATAACAAAACAGTTGAAGATACATATAGATATTTTTCTACCATGACATAATATAGCGAGATAAGAATCGGTCATAAGAAGAGGGAACAGACAGATATTGAAGCAGCCCGAACAGAGCTCGCTGTAACAGATGCCAGTAATGGCAGAGATCTGGGGAGAAGGGGTCGTTTTTGCAGCCCTAACGGCGAATTTATAACTGGTTCAGTTCCTTCTTCAGGATCAACTTCTGGCTCTGCAGGTGATGTCTTCAGGAATAATAATCCCTATTCTGCAGCTAATGTGACCCATTCACGTACTTCATGGAATGTTAAGTGAAGACCAATAATAAATAGGTGAAACAGTTATCAAAAACCACATTGTACCTTGGAATAGCACATTTAACGAAAATAAGTAACCATCCCGGTTCAAAATATATATATATAAACTATTGAATGTTCATTTCTTCTGTTTATTGACGTTTCGATCCCGGTATTTTCATTTTATTAGTCAACCTTGGGATCCTCTTCAAAGTTTTAAAAAATAGAGCTTCGATCAGGCCAGGGACACACCGACAGTCTCAACTCAACACCGTTCACTAGCACATATATTAAGCTACTGGGTTTTAATATATAACTACCAGTATATTTATTATACCAGTAGTATATTATTAGTAGTATATTATTATACTACCAGTTATATTTTACCAGTAGCTTAATATATGTGCTAGTGGACGGTGTTGATACTGTCGGTGTGTCCCTGGCCTGATCGAAGCTATATTTTTTTAAACTTTGAAGAGGATCCCATGGTTGACTAATAAAAAGAAAATACCAGGATCGAAACGTCAATAAACAGAAGAAATGAACATTCAATAGTTTATTAAATAATAATAAAGTGACCTTATTTCCAATTAAATATATATATATATATATATATATATATATATATATATATATAATATATATAAATATTTTTTTTTTTTTTTTCCTGTTGCCATTATAGACCAAGTACATCTTTTGTCGCTTTAACAAGTCTGCTCCATCTTTACCTGTCTTGGGCTATATCTTTCAAGTTATCTGCAGTCAACTCTATTAGATATTTGTTGATTCTATCTATCTACCTGCTTTTTGATCTTCCACGGGGTCTTTTGTCTTCTATTAAGGCATTCATTATTAGAATAGAAATAGAAAATAACTTTATTCTGGGACAAAGTCCCTTTAGAATAACAAAATAGAACATAATTAAAAGACTACATCTAGCCAAAATAAAACAATAATAAAAAAAAGAGAAAGTAAAGAAAATATTAGTTAAACAAGCTATTATAAAACAAATATCTCTATAAAAAACACTTAAAACTATGATAAAACACTTAAAACTATGTACAGTAGGAAAAATTATAATTATGCACTTTTGAAAAATAAAATAATAAAAAATAAATTGAATTGTTTTTTAAAATGAGGTGTGTTTCTGCTAACATAGGAAATACAAAGATGACAATATAAAATGTCAGAGTATTTAAATAATGAATAATATGTAGACTCATCATTGTCTAATTCTAATAGGTACAGATTTAATTATATAAGAATAAAAAATAATAAAAAAAACAAACAGACGCCTCGGAGGGTTATCAGGGATCGAGGAGGAAGCAAGGTTAGAAACAAGAGGGTTGGAATGATTCTGCAGTTTGTTATTGAAGGATAGGTATCTGGATTGGGCCAGATCTGAAACATAAGAAACATTAAGGTCGTTGTGGATGGTTTTATTTGTAATAATGTAGGGAGCATTGAGAATTTTACGAAGGATTTTGGATTGTAAGGATTGGATACAAGGGGAATTTGATGGTTTAGTGGAGCCCCATACCTCAACTCCGTAATTCCAAATAGGTCTTATTATTGTCATGTATATGAGTCTTGTGTTGTAATTAATTGGAACGTTAGAGCGTTTGTCTAGTAAATGCTGGAGTAGTCGGTAACGTCGAGCTGTTTCTTGTCGATTCAGTATGGTGTGAGGATTCCAAGTTAGACATTTGTCAAGGTGGAGCCTAGGTAATGAAAAATGATTAAAAAAAACTGCCCATCTAGCGCACACATTTCGATAATTTGCTTTAAATTAAATACATTTGTAAATATCCACCATCAGAACTAAAGCTGTAGTTCACATTAATGTTGAAAAATTCTCCTAAAGTGTCTATTATCGGTATACTCCCTTTTATCTTATTTTTACTTTTCTAGCTATACTAGGTAAGGAAAGTATTGCAATCGGGTCGAATTTTCGATATGCGATTTTCGATGGATCTATACGTTTCAGAGCCCCCTGAGTCCGGAAAACACATTTTTAGCCATTGGTCTGTCTGTCTGTGCCAAGATTTTCTCGAGAACTACTGAACCGATTTTGTTGCTTCTCTTTTTATTTTGTAGGGTTTTGACTACTGATGCCTGCGATAGAAATTAGGTTCTCCATGCGCAATAGCTTGCGCGCAATAAATAAAAAACATGTCTTTCTATTGACTGGAGCGCGAAAACGGCTCTCACTATTTTGATGAATCTTTCCTTTAATGTTGTAATCATTGTCCTTTCAATTTTCGTAAATGGACTAAATTCTCGAAAAAAAATCAGGAAAAAAGTTATAATGAAAAGAAAAATGTTATGGGACTTAACTCCGTATGTATATATTATACGGTAAAATTTATAATAAAACTTTTGAAAGATAATTAAATTACCAACAAAATAAAAAAAAATCATGAGAATTGAACCAGTATTAGCGATGATACAGCTTATTCTATTTTGTACACATTTTTAACCTATTACTTTCCTATCTATACTAAGTAAGGAAAGTATTGCGATCGGGTGAAATTTTCGATGCGCAGTTTTCGACGGATCTGTATGCTATTCAATTTCCAATGAAACATTACGAGTTCATTTCCTGGTGTCAGAAAAGGGGTGAATGAGAAAATAAAGATGACTAAATGAAAGTAAGAAAATCTGTTGCCCGCATCACACAATCTTCACTATTTCCTCTACTTTTAAAAGAAATTATTGTTTGACAATACTAAGCTATGGCAAGAAGTTTTTGATCAGCAATATTAGAGGGAATTGAAATTTTTCCACTGATCTACCTTAAGCCGATTTCATTGCTTCAGTTTATCAAATAAATCGTACTCAAATATTTTGTTTGATCAATTTTCAGGAAAATAAATTTAGTTTAATTCTTTTTTGTTTATTCATGAACATATGTAAAGATATAAAAACTTTTCTGAAATAGGTAGAGAAGTAGTGGGAGTTGACACATCAGATATTTTTTTTAATATCTGATATTTGTAATCATGGCACATTGTATAATAAAACAGATATTCTAACCTAAATTTGATTTAATAAATATCGAAAATATTTTATCAACACATTTTAATATTAAAGATTATATAGTTGTTTACAAATGCAGATATATTTTATGAGTTTTCAGCTCTACAATTATTATTATTATTAGTTCAGTAGCAGTCCGGCCTGGGTGGTTCGATATAACTCTTCTTCTGCCTCTGTACCTTCCGGATCTCTATGTGCCTAGCCATCTGCTTGAACCTGGTGAAGCACTCGCTGTAATCGTCGATGATGTCTTTGCAGGAGGATTCGACCCCCCTGTAGTACCCGTAGGCTTCCAGGCAGTTGATCATCTTCATCTCGATGTCCATGCAGAGGCCGAAGTACTGGCTGGTGTAGGCAGGTGTGCCCGTCAGGTCAGTCAACGGGGTCTTGAAGTAGCTCAAGGCACCGTGCGAAACTCCGGTGAGCATCCTGAGGTTGAGGTTATGGGAGTCGGCGATATCTTCACCACGTTCAACAGTTAATATCGATTGGCCTTGAAAAACATATGGTCAAATCTATATAAATAAAATAAAGCTTTTGTCTATAAGCAGACCCTACACGGTAATTCATGAATGACCGTCACAAGAAGTTCCAAGATTGCCCGCTATCGCTTTGATCGTGGAAGACCCTTACACGTTCAATCATTACTGATCATTACTTATACCAATTTAGCTCAGTTGTAAACAAAGAAACAGCATAGATATGCTTATTTGGACATAATCATTTATAATATTGGGCATCAAGAGAAAAACGGAGATATGATAATTACTTCCTAGTGCCTGAAAATCGTTTAGATCAAAGTTAGTAAAATATAAGTCAACTACATACAAAAATCTAGAAAATGTATTGCGAAAATAATCAATTTGTTAAGAAAAATGGAAAAATTAATGGCAAATAAACACAACAGTTAAAGATTTTTTTTCTATAAGTAAGTTGTGAAGTTTCCACTTTTTCTCTTCAATTTATCGCCTACTTGACTACTTAAAAAAAAAATAGTTGAAAATGGTTAATAATAATATAGACTAGGGATATAAACAACTATTTACTTAATAACGAGACCTAGGTAAACTAACCTATCTAGTAGTAGTCTCATAGAAGGTTAGTCTCATAGAAAATCGTTTTGACAAAAGTTAGTAAAATATAAGTCTACTACTTACAAAAATTAAGGAAAGGTATTGCGAAAATAATAAATTTGTTGAGGAAAATGGGAAAAGAACTGATAAATATACACAACGTTAAAGTTTTTTTTTTTCTTAAAGTAAATTGTGAAGTTTCCTCATTTTTTTTTTTAAATTTGTTGCCCACTTGACTATTTAAAAGAAATAGCTGAAGATGGTTTAAAATTATAAACAAGGGATATGAACAATTATTTAACTATTTACATATAATGAATTCAGAATACAGAAATTTATAATGGTTGTGAGGCCTAGGTAACCTAACCTATCCGGCAGTATGGTTGGTCCCCCCACTACTTTTACCTCAGTCTCCCCTCCACTTCTCATGAATGAACCTTTGATTTCCAGATGTTCGGAAATCCGCAGCGCACCTCCATCAGTACTTCATTCATTACCTTACACGACAATTCGGAACGTCATTAGTGCAATTCCGATTCACCGTGTAGGTTCCCCTATACATTGAATAGAATCAACCCGTTTCATGATATCTTTCCCTTTTCATGAATCCACAATTAAAAAACGCTGCAAATTATTCCACAATAGTTTATTACTTCCAGAAAATTATACGTATAAAGTAACATTACCTTCAGAGTTACAAAGAAAAATAAATAAAAGGTGATTCCAATTATTGGACTAAACTTTTTTTTTTAATCATTGGTAATATGATAAAAAAAAAAACATTACATCAGTAAAGGGGACCCTACACGGTCAATCGGAATTGCACTAATGACGTTCCGAATTGTCGTGTAAGGTAGTGAATGAAGTACTGATGGTGGTGCGCTGCGGATTTCCGAACATCCGAACATCAAAGGTTCATTCACGAGAAGTGGAGGGGGGGCTGAGGTAAAAGTAGTGGGGGGCTAACCATACTGCTGGATAGGTTAGGTTACCTAGGCCTCACAACCATTATAAATTTCTGATTTTCATTATAAATAAATAGTTAAATAATTTTTCATATTCCTTGTTTATAATTTTAAACCATCTTCAGCTATTTCTTTTAAATAGTCAAGTGGGCAACAAATTTTTAAAAAAAATGAGGAAACTTCACAATTTACTTTAAGAAAAAAAAAAACTTTAACGTTGTGTATATTTATCAGTTCTTTTCCCATTTTCTTCAACAAATTTATTATTTTCGCAATACCTTTCCTTAATTTTTGTAACTAGTAGACTTATATTTTACTAACTTTTGTCAATACGATTTTCTATGAGACTAACCTTACTACTAGATAGGTTAGTTTACCTAGGTCTCGTTATTAAGTAAATAATTTCGTAAAAGTAAATAGTTGTTTATATCCCTAGTCTATGTTATTATTTACCATCTTCAACAATTTTTCTTTAAATAGTCAAGTAGGCAATAAATTGGAGAGAAAAAAAAGTGGAAACTTCACATAAGTAATGATCAGTAATGATTGAACGTGTAAGGGTCTTCATGATCAAAACGATAGCGGCCAATCTTGGCACTTCTTGTGACGTTCATTCATGAATTACCGTGTAGGGTCTGCTTAACATATTCAAAATTTAAAAACAAAACAAAAAATATAACATTTGGAGTAGAATATATTTTTAAAAAACCGGAGACCATATATTTGCTCCTAATTGTCCGAATTTAACGATTTATTTTTTTTTTGGTTTTTAGGAAATTTCGTAAACTTTTAAAAACCGTATACATTATCGACAAAAAGTGTAAACTTTTTGAGGTATTCGGAATTTAATTTTACCATCCCTCGTAACTTTTTTTCCAGCTTCTTTTCGTTGAAGTGACTGGAGAATACAAGACAAAGGGAATCTCGGGCCTACCACCGCACAACCTCTCGCTTCCACTCGAGTATAATCAACTCCATTTGTATTATTTCTTCAAAAATACAATATCAGGGGGATATTGTATTATAATCGAAAAATAGACGTTCTAATTTAGATACCCTACCGGTCTAGAAAAATACATATTTGGAAGATATCTGTAGTATTGGTACAATAATGAAAGAAAATGGACTGACCGTCAATGTGGGGGTAAATATGTTTGTAGAGGGAAACAAAATTGATCTTTTTTTCCCTTACCTCGATGGATCGAATGGAACCCAAGAAGAGAAAATTTTAGTGAGTTTAATTTTAAGTGGGATGTTGTGGGGCGGGATGGCCGAACGGACAAACGTGTGTGCACAGCACCACCGTTTTTTAAGGTAATTTCGTTAACTTTTAAATAACTATATACAAAAATCAACAAAAAAGTGTATACTTTTTGAGTTATTCGGAATCTAAGTTCACCATCCCACGTAACTTTTTTTACAGCTTCTTTTCGTTGAAGTATGTTATATAGATAAATTTAAAGCGGGGCAAGAAAATGACTTTAGCGAAGTTTTATTGAAATCGGTACTTTCGTTTAGGATCTACAGTCTATAGCAACGCAGGTTTTTCGACCGCCATTTTGAAAGTAAAAGGCGGATGGTAATGTCGATGAAGGAGGATCATCCTCGGGTGACCTCTGATTTTATATCCAAATTTGAAAAAAAATCGTTCCAGTAGTTTCGGAGAAAATGCACGGACGGCGGACGGACTAAAAAATTTGTATTCGTTTTTCGAATTCTACTTATCCTGAAACATGAAACTTCAAATTTTGAGAGGGAGTTAAGTTTTTGAATCTTTCTTCGGTTCGAATATTCTACCCAATACTTTATTTTCAAAAACCTTAAGACGTTGCTCATCTCTTAAAGTAAGCGGCCACGTTTCGCACCCATAAAGGTAGGATAATGGTTTTATAGATTCTAGTCTTTAAATTCCGGGACAAGATGCGTGAGCCAAGTAGTTTAGTCATAGAAAAATAACAAGTTCCCGCCTTCAGCCTAAACATGTTACCTTCTATATCGATATCACCAGCCATTTTTACAGCTAACTATATATTTTTTCTTATCCGTGTTTATTTCGAGCCCTAGATCTTTACTGGGTTTGATGAACGTTGACATATTTAGTTTTATATTCCTCAAGGTAGTATCCTAGGTCCTATCCTGTATACAGCTGACATCCCAACCCAATCCAACACTGTCATCACCTATGCTGGTGACACATGTATCCTATCAGTTAATAACGATCCATCTATTGCATCCCAACCTCTTCAATCACACATCACAAGTCTTGAAAAATGGTGTCAAAACTAGAGGATTAAAATAAACTCCAATTAATTCCATCAAATTACCTTCACACTTCGTCGTAAACCTATGACTTCCTGTCCTACAGTATCCTTTAACAATACCCCACTTATCCGTATTGACCAAATCCGATACCTAGGATTCCACCTTGACAAACGACTCACTTGGAATCCCGATACCAGACTGAAACGACTAGAAACTGCCCGACGTTTGCGACTACTCCAGCACTTACTAGACAAACGCTCTAAGCTTTCAATCAATTACAAACGACTCATATATATGACAATAATAAGACCTATTTGGACTTACGTCCCTACAATCCCTACAATCCAAAATCCTTAATGCTTCCTACTTTTTCAAAAATAAAATCATCCATAATGACCTTAATGTACCGTATGTTTCCGATTTAGCTCAATCCAGATACCTGTCCTTTCATAATAAACTTCTGAACCATCTCGTTTCAAACCTAGCTTCCTCTTCTATTCCTGATAACCCGTCTGAAAAGAAGATGGCCTCGGAACCTTCTAATATAGAAATATAATTGAAGTGCTACCAATGGGTAGTGTTTCTTCATGTTGTACATGTCATATTACTTGTTCATATTTACTTGTTGTATTTATTATTAATTACAGTTGTAAATTTCGTTAATAAAAAAAAAATGTTTTATAGTTACCATGTCTTCCTTTAACAGAGAATATTAATATTACCGTAATTAATACGGTAGTGTCCTTAAAGTATAACTTTTAAAGTCGGTATGCAAATATTTATAAGTGAAACGAATAAATTCGACAAAAGTTGAAGCACATTGACTCCCCTCTTCTCCGGAGGACACGATATAATTGCCAACATCAATCCAACGCAGCCGTGGCGCAGGTTCTGATAAGACCTGGAGCTTCCAGGCTGGATTTTAATTTAATATAAAACAAAGCGTCCCATGACAGGGGGGCTGACGCGGGGGATTACAACGTCAACGGTAGAGGGAGATATTGCGCAATAAATAATCCAAAGGGTGTCTCTACCGGAGGGGGGTTCTATGCTATCCAGTTCCTGGAGTATGGAGGATATTCTGGAAGGAGTCTTCTTCAACAGGAGATGCTGGAAGCGATGAGCGTAACGGGACACAGAAGAAGTTATTTGGTTTTATACGAAATTTATCCCTGCTCGACTAGTTGACTTTGAAATTTTACTGAGTTCAAATCCCGTTAACCTGTGGGAATTTTAACTCGTATAATT